CAAAGCCACACTCCGGCCTACTGACTGAATCCATGGCCGTCAAGGCCCACGGCTACTGCGCGTTCGTCCTCACCCCCATACTCTGACCGCTACTTAAAGCCGCATTGTCGCCAATGCCGTCCTCCGTACGAGTGCACATGCCGTGATCAAGCGTACCAATAAAAAGACGAAATCTTTTAATCCTAATTTAAATAAAAAACCAAAAGTTTGAAACCACGCCCATCAACAAGAGAAGAGATCACGCGCGCCGTAAGTCTGTGCGCCCACACACTCTTTACTTCTAGTCAACCATTCAGTCAGCGTAATCGAAACACAGCCGCGACTCGCGCGGTGTACTCAGACACTTGACCAAAGTCGGGTAATCGCCCCGATATCTCAATTTGTTCTAGATATCGTCAATCAGAACTGCCCGGTAATCCATAGGCAGAGAGGGAGAAGAGGACAACAAACGAGGGGCTGTGACAAACTGTTTCGTCGGTGTTTCACTGACTCATCAGGATGCTGAACCCTCAACAGTCTGCAGAATCCCCTAACTGATTACACTCCAAGTGATAATCCACCTTAACCCCGGTTGTGGCTGAGCATGAATGACTGCCCGCCCTGAGGTGGGCATATGGGATGCTGGGCCCGGTTTCCAGCACGTGCTGCTCCCCATGGATAGATCGGAGCTTTGTTTCATTCATATTAAAAAAAAAAAAAAACAAGGGACTGGCTCCTGCGCAAATGGTGAAGGGTGGAGGCAGGGAGCGGCCTTCGTGATTGACGGGGACACAGGCCAGAAGTCCCCGAAGCCCCTAGTGGTGCTGACACGCTCCAATCTATTCGTGGGGAGCAGCACGTGCTGGGAACTGGGCCCAGCATCCCATATGAACATATGTATAGAACAGATTAAGATACCGGGGCCCCTAGCAGTGCTCTAATCCGTGTACCCAGAGGAGAACTGTTGGGAACCATGGAAAGACAAACTCTGGAACAACCTGCACCAACACGTCCCGGGGCTCTCGGGTCAGATCCCCCCAGCACTGCACCGGGTGCACTTTTGCCGCTCACAGAGCCATTCATGACTACGCAGGTATCAGCCCCCAGCATAACTGATGGGGACACAATGGACAAGCTGGTGCTGGGGGTATACATCATCTAGGAAGGATCACGCTGGTCATTTTGATAAAACAGAACCCGTACTACATGATTCCAGAGACGGAAGCCACAAGAAAGCAGGCCCCAATACTGATGGGGCTGCCTGCACCGCCGACAGGCCTGACAACATGAAGATCAACCAACCCGGTCAGAGAGGTAGTGGTCGCCCTCAAAGATGCCTCCAGTACGCCTCTATCAACAGCACCAGGCAATAGAGGATGCTCATGAGGATTAGCAGATTGTGAACAAGGGGAGTCAGACATGGGCTCCGGGGTCTTAAGATTGTATTTAGTGATCCAAGTGAAGCTGTGGTAAGAGTCAAGGCAGTGTCTCATGCAGTCAAACCCATGGAAGACTACCTTCCAAGTGAAGCTGTGGTAAGAGTCAAGGCAGTGTCTCATGCAGTCAAACCCATGGAAGACTACCTTCCAACGGAGGAAGTAGATGAAAAGAGCCAAGGAAGTGGCTGTTCTTCCCATGGTCTGGCTCCCTGCCAAAAGAAGGAACCTGTATCTTGAGACAGACGACCCCAGGCTAAAGGAAGTGGCTGTTCTTCCCTATAATCTGTTTCCCTGCCAAAAGAGGTATACTTATCTTGAGACAAACCACTGACCCCCGACTAACTGGTTCCACTATTGAAGATAACCAAGGGCATGGGCCCTTGGTTGGGTTACCGTGAGACTCTGCTACTCTCTCAGGCCCCAGCCTCAGGCACTTCTCAACCAAATGAGCAAGACAAATACACACGGCCAGGAAACCCCATGAAAGGGTCACGGTAGTTGCTCCAAATGAGCACCGGTTTCGACTGCTTCCAAACAAAACCACATTGGCAGGGGGTTAGCTGGGGAATCCATGGGAGACTGAAAATGTGGCCATCGCCTCATTTGAGCTGCGTGCATCATGGGATGCCGGGCCCGGTTCCCAGAAGCTAATGCTCCCCACCAATGGATTGGAGTAGTTCGCTATGATGGCTCCCTCTATTGGAGGCTGCTGCTCTTATCACCTCCCGCAGTTGGACCCTTGAGGATGCTTAGACCAACCGTTCACATTAACATAAGTAGTGCTCTCACCGGTATCCGGCGTTGAGCACTTAGCTTCGGGCCTGGGCCAGCAGTGAAAGCTGCAGGCCACTTTGAAAAGGCCCAGTTGCAGCCTCCCGAGCCTTGGAAGGTAGCTTCGTCAACTTAGGCTTGTGTGAACTGGTGGTTTAAAACAGGCAAAAAGGAGGAGACGGTCTCTTCACAACTTTTCTGCAACAGGTCAGCTCTTTACAACTCTCTGCCAGAAGGAATTATGCAAGTCAGTAACCGAAATGTTTAGTCAACTGCTGTCTTGAAATGGGCAAAGTCGAAAATACAAGAATCAGAAAACAACGTACACCCATGAACGGTTGAAATACAGACCCAAGTTAGAATCCAGATTGAACTAAATGAGTGAAGTCAAATCATTCTGAAATACCTGAGGCCGGTCAGTTCGACAATGATATCCCACGGCCGTCGCACTTTATGGGAAACAAACAAACAAACAAAAAAAAAAAGAATAAGAAAACACTTCAAAACAGTGCAATTCAAAAGGAGAAGGGGGCATGGAGTGCGATTGTAACCAATATGACAGGGAAGTAAACAAGGTTGACGAACACAAAGGACTGGTTGCATGACTCTCCAGAGCACCCTTTTTATGACATTTTGAAGTTACCCTTATTCTTTTATCTGAGCATAGGTAACATGCAGAGGAAGTATGCTTTCAACAGCCCAAGTTGTGGTGGAAACAACCTTGTACCCAGGGCTGTGACAGGGAGCAGCAGCCCAATTGTGGTGGATAACCTTGTGCCCAGGGCTGTGACAGGGAGGACTCCCAGTGCAAGGAAGATCCGGTTTCCCTTTTGGTGTGTGACTGTGTTTTTGGGGTCTAACTTGATTCACACCAAACATTTAAATCCCCTCCCATGCCATGCTTCGTGTTCAGAGTTCAAACTGAAATCCTCTCAGTCATGCTTTTCATCGCGGCTGGTTCGGACTACTACCCTATTCACAAGGATGGAACGCCCTGGCATTATAGCTGTATTTGGCACAGTTTCCAGTCCAGATGCAGCACTAATGATAGGGCGTTCTATTCAGGTGAATACGGTAGTAGCCTTTTCATCGGGGGGATAGTAGCATTTTCATCATGGGAAAAAGGCTAGGACCAAATCCAGCCGCAATGAAAATTTATGAGGTTAAAATCGCTCACAAACTTCGCGCAAATTTCACACAACCTTCATGCAAACTTCACGCAAACTGCATGCAAAATAAAGGCGGACATTGCTCGACATCGGACATCCAAATCAAAAAAGTTGAAAAGAAGGTTCTTTCCATTCTGACATACTTCTGTTGACTTCTATCTATTAGCATTGGCATGGCTTTATTAGCATTGGCATAGCATATCTAAACCAGTGTGCTACACAAAGTAACTGCAGCTGCTGGGACAGAAGAACTTCTGAGAAAGGGAAAAAAAGGCCCATCACCTCACCAGCATCTGATCTGTAGATTCTGGACTCAATCCCCCATTACCCATACCAACACAGGCACTATGTTCCTTTGTGCCTCCCTCTAATGATACTCAGTCTTCTAAATTCGTCGATGGAATCTACACTCTGGAATGAACATAGGATGACGGTGGAACCGAGCGAATTCAACTGTTGATTATGAACTACACTCTGGAATGAACATAGGATGACGGTGGAACCGAGCGAATTCAACTGTTGATTATGAAGTTGGAGACTCGTCAATTATACTCTCTCTGAATTGATTGACAGAAGTCATCAACTTTCCAGATATGCATGCAAACAGCTCTGCTCTTGTGCGCACCCCTTTTCCGATCCAGATGACTTTCTGCTTCCGCTTTCACAGTTGGGGAACCTGCTTTCGCTCTCAGCAAATCCCATGCGCGGCCTCGAACATCTCTGCCTTTCGGATCCTGTTTCCCTATGACCGGCCAATCCACGGACTTACTTCGTTCGCTGATTGGTGTCAGCTCCGGACGTCAGATGGATGGATACCCCAGCCCTTGCATACGCCAAGCTGACTCCTGCACGGCAGGTTTCGCCCCTCTCATATGATTCACTGTACAGTTTGCACCTCTCCACGTTCCTTCTCTCCACCGCCCTTGTGCCGTTCCTCCTTTCCAGAGTCCGCTCTCCAGCCCATCACATGTGACTAGTCACCCTCATCTTCCCAACTTGCCATAGTGATATGATTCTCAGCTGATGTTGCGATGAGTGAAAGAACTGAGTGGACATGCCTGCCCAGCGGAGTGCAAATAGAGCTCTAGAACACACAATACACAGCCGTGTGGTTCTCAGCTGGTGTTGTGATGGGTGAAAATACTGAGTGGACATGCCTGCGCAGCGGAACGCACGTGGCACTCTGGAATGCACACAGCACACACATCGACATTCCGTCATCTTCCTCGTCGGACAGTTACACACAGCAGTACATTCACCTGCGCCTCGTCCTCGGGTTTCAAGTCTGTGCGTGACTGGAGGATCTCACTCCGCACTCAATATTACTTGATCATCCAGCAGTTCTTTAGCAACTTTTGAGAAGCCCTACACCCCAACTACATACTAGACTACTCTGGTAACTATCAGTGCTCAGTGCAATTTCTTGTTCAGAATCTGAGCCTTGCCTCTGCGCTATGTGTCAGTTGGAGGTGTGATTGCTCTGCGATTCTCTCTTCTTGGCGATTTCTTTCCTCGACTACTCAGCCTCTGAGCTATGCTTCATTCACCAATTTGTCTCTCAGAGCCTGAGCCTTGCCTCTGCGCTGTGTGTCAGTTGACGGAGTTATCACATTCTCTCTTCTAGGCAATTTCTTTCCTCCACTGCTTAGTCTCTGGGGTATGCTTCATTCAGCAATTTGTCGCTCATGCTCGCTTGCACATAGTATTGCACTGCTCGTATTGTTGACGAGTTTCTTTAGCAACGTAACATATCGCCGTCGTTTGCGACTTGTACCATGCATCAATCTATCATACATCCGTTCCTGTACGCCATCATGGAGCAAGATCCATGTCACCATGCCATGTGTACGCCCTCCTTACTCCATGCCACCATAGCCAGCCATGTAGCTGTGAATTGCCTCAAAGCCCTGAGTGAACGCATCACAACACAACCGGTCATTTACACGCAAAAGAGTGAAAAACTTAAAATGACTTTCTTTTTTATTGCATGGAAAAAAAATGACAGCAAATCACAAACCAGGAGGTCACCAGAAATGAGATGGAACCATCATGACAGCAATTGTGTGTGTGTGTGTGTGTGTGTGTGTGTGTGTTGTTGCAATGTTTCAGAAGGGGAAAATGACACTAAATTCTGTTGCAAAGACTTAAAAAATGACAAGAGATGATGTCACAAGGTTCCGAAGACAACAGACTATGTCACAATGGTGCAAATCAGTTGTGACAGCAGCTATTCAATCCCATGGAGAAAACTTCAGAAAAAGCATTCGGAATTTCAGAAACATCACGCACACGCACACAAACACCCACACATGCGCACACGCACCCACACACCCCACACACCCACCCACACCCACACACACACTCCTCTTCTTTTTTTGAAGGACGACGGCCTTGAGATATGGTCATTGAACTGACCGCCCCAAGGTAATTCATTACTCATCTGCTTCCAGTGGAGTTTGAACTCAGGTCTGCATTTCAACAATTCAGGGACGTACCAACTGAGCTATGCCAGTTGGTTACGCACAGACACAATCGTCACGGTGAAGGTAGAGTTAAAAGAAGATTCTTAGGTCTTGCGGGCATGCCATGCCGCATATGTGACTATGGTGTGCCGCTCCTACGGTCGACGGGTGTGTGGGCACTTGGCGGTTAACCACACGAACATGGCCAACCTTGCAGTATCTACTATGTTTTAGCATGTTGCTTATTTATACCTTTTTTTGGTTTTATGGATGGCTTGTGATGATTTGGGGATGGAATGAGGGAGCGAGTTTGGTGATGAAACAACTGCGCCTGTGCGCTCTATGAAATCTGCCAAAGCTGGAGCGATAGAGACAAGATGAGCATTGCCCTTGCTCAAGGATGAACTTGATAACATATTGATGAAACAAAAAAAAAAAACGAACACAAGGCCTCAGTCGGAGTGGTGAAATACTTCCCTCCAAACACAAGAAGCATGGAAATAGAAAACTTGCTGACATGGTGTGCCATTCGCAGTAACAATACAAATGAAAGGATTACATGGTTTTACACAACCTCTCACCCCACCAGTCTCCACCTTGTACTTACCTACCTATGCACGAGAAATGGAAGCATGCTATTTCTTCTGATTGATTAAACCCCTTGTCACAAATTGTGACCTGTCGGAAGTACATATTTGCAAATGTGTAGGGAAATCGAACCACACTTCCAATGGATTAAATGATTTTAAAATCTCCTCACTTACCAGTTGCCACCTTTTGTACATATGTACAGGAAATCAAACAATGCTTTTCCTTACGAATGATTGAACCTTTTGTTTGCTTTCTTTTTTTTTCTTTGAAAAAGGGCGACGGCCTTGAGGCATCATCATTGAACTGACTGGCCTCAGATAATTCAGAGTTATCGTATTCCTCCGATTCCATCAGGGTTTGAACTCACATCTGTTTATCAACAGTTATATGGATGTGCCATTCAGAGCCGTGTGAGCCGGGTATGCAGCGTTATCGTCCCCGATTCCATCAGGATTTGAACTCACATCTGTTTATCAACAGTTATATGGATGCGCCATTCAGCCGCATGAGCCGGGTTGATTGATTGATTAAACCTAACGCTCCTTGCTCACCAGTTGTAGCCTGTCGGATGTATGTGCAGGGAATTAAAGCACGGATATGTACGGTGAACCTTGTTAAACCTCCGCACTCACTCACAAGTTCAGACACTAAATCAACCATATACTGGACGTCGGTTTCAGAAAGTGAAATTATAATCTATAATATTATACAGATTCACTCAATCAGGAGTCAAATAGGCAGTATTACACACCTCTTCTATTTTTTCCCTTCTTTAAAAACAGTCCTACACAACTACGGTGAATGAACACCAGGAAGTGTGTCTGAAGGCGTTTGCCGGACCAACAATTAACCCCTTTCCCAGCAAGTGCACTGTGCAGTACCCAAAGTTAACCCCTTTGCCGGTGCGTGCAGTACCATACACACAGGTGACGCCTCTGCAGGTAAATGCAGGACCCAGCTTTAACCCCTCTGCAGATAAATGTCCTATCAACAGTTAGCCCCTCAGCAGGTGAATATAGTAATAAGTACCTGCAGTTAACCACTCTGCAGGTAAATGCAATACCCAGTGTTAAACCCATGGCAACCGAAGAGCATTACCCGCAGATAAAACCACCAGTGCCACAAAAAAAAATCTATTTTGCACACCCTGAAGCTTCCAAACCACGGGCCTTGATAACAACACCTGACTTTTGTTTCATAGCAGGCTCTTACTGCTGCGATCAACAATCTGACGAGATAGGGGCTTTTGACCACAGATTTGATTTCGTTCTTTTGCCTAACCCTCGATAGGGCTCCTCGTCCTCCTCCTCGTTTTCGGTTCATCTTTGCATTCTTTCAGTGAAACATACTTACCACTCGATCAGCAAAATCTCCAAACGTTTCGGGCTCGCCATCCCCCGTCAATCTCTGGGTCTTGTACATATAGAACACGGGCTCCAGTGTTGTCTCCAAATTCTGGGCCTTCATCTTGTCCATGAAAAGCTTGGCCAACCTCGTCTGGTTCCTCGAACCACCCAGATACACCTGCACAAAACGAGCCAAAAGGCGTTAAATCTCTCTCTCTCTCTCTCTCTCTCTCTCTCTCTCTCTCTCTCTCTCTCTCTCTCTCTCTCTCTCTCTCTCTC